ACGCGGCTTGGGGACGCGGCCCGGACGCCCGAGTGTCCGCCGGGTGGACAGGGAGACCCGCGCGCCCGGGCTCCTGGGCTCCTCCCGGGCCGCAGGCCTGCTGGGGCTGCTGCCCCTATTCTGACATCACCTCCCTTCTGCTGTCTCCGTGTTAAAATGTTCTTTCTTCTAGGAAATGATGGTGACACACGGAGTTTGTAGTTCGGCTTGGGGACGCGGCCCGGACGCCCGAGTGTCCGCCGGGTGGACAGGGAGACCCGCGCGCCCGGGCTCCTGGGCTCCTCCCGGGCCGCAGGCCTGCTGGGGCTGCTGCCCCTATTCTGACATCACCTCCCTTCTGCTGTCTCCGTGTTAAAATGTTCTTTCTTCTAGGAAATGATGGTGACACACGGAGTTTGTAGTTTTTTTTTTAAAAAATCGTTACTTGCAAAACAAAACCACCAATTCATGATGATTACTTTTTGTTTTGGTAATTTAACTAGTCGTGAAAGCTGGAATGACAATACAACACCTTCACCTCACAGAGAAGGAAAATTAGTCTCAAGGTCATTGCTGTGGTTGGTAAAATTTTTGATTTGACTGCTGACTACCATTCAGAGGGTCTTAGACCTACTGGGTGTGATAGCAGCTCAAGTTCTGTGTCTTTCCACTTAATGAGAGGCTTTCACAGGTGCCGGGCCTGGGGTGGAGATGGTGAGGCCTGAGCCGTCCCTGGAGTGCATGGGCTCAGTGCTGTGCACCATAATGGAGCCGCTGGATCTGACTGCACCTAAGCCATGGCATTTTCCATCTCCCCGCTGGCCTTCTAGGTTTGGGGAGCAGGGATCAGAAGTACCCAGTACTTTGAGCTCATTAACAGAATAAACAAGGGCCCATCCCTCCAAGGCCAGGCTGATTCACCCTGAGGGGGTGGTCAAGGTCCCACTGTATTCCTGCTCTTGTCAGGAAGGGGGTGAAGCAGGATAGCCAGCAGGCAGGTGGCTGAGCCTTTGTGGGGATGCCATGCATGAGGTCTTTTAAAAAGTGACGGTGCATTTGGCATCCAGGCCCACCACTTTGTAGACCTGGGTCAGAGGTGGACATAATGCTAGACTTATGTATGCCCTTCTGTGAGCCAGCAGCCCTGAACTGTGTCCTTTTGGAAAGTGGCCTTAGTGCAGATTTGATGTTTGCGGTTTCAACTGTTTGTGAGTGACATCATGAGTCTGAAGTTGGTACTAACCTGTAATTTTCTGAGGGATACCCATCACAGAGCTGAGGTCCCGGAACTTTTAGTATACTTTAATTTCCTAGAGAACTGTGCACTTCTTATGGCATGTACAAATTTAGGGACAGCCTACATCTCCAGCTGTGTCCACTCTGCAGGCTTCGCTGGTGGATCAGGGTCCAGCCAGAGAGACCTGACCTGTCAGGTGGCCAGCAAACATTCAGCCTGCTGGCCTAGGTCCTGTGGGAACAAATGCAGACATTCAGGACAGAGATGAGAGAGGAGCCGTTTTCTGCTGTGCTTTTCATGGAGGAGCCTCCAAATCCGAAGTAACAATCCTACTTGTAAGAAGTGTGTTGTCAGGCCCTGCTCTTAGAGCTTTTGTGTATGTTAAGTTACTTAATCTTCACAGCAGCTGATAAGTATGCACTGTGTTTATCCCCATTGTACAGACAAGGAAACCAAGGTAGTTTGAGGTTAAAACTTGATGTAAATTAATTCCATTAAGGATCTTTGGTTTAGATTTGGTTACCGAGAACAAACAAAATGTTGGATTCTGTAATTTGTTCTGACCCAGAGCATATGCAGCATCTCTGGCGTGAACCTGCAGTAAGGATGGTCACGCTGGGGTAAGAAGCCGTATTAGGGCCATCTGCCTTCAGTTATGGTTCGCAAAGGGTGGCCAGGAGGCAGCTACTTAGAAGGAGCTCTTTTAAAGCAGGTTCCTGCGGGAAGCTGTGCTTTCTGATTTCTGAGATCCTGGGTGTGGGGAAGGCCTTTCCTACTCTGCTGAGATGTGCTGTTCTGTTGTAGATTGTCTACACTGTAGCTTTTTATAAAATCATTGCCTTTTTAAAAGAAGTAAAACATGCACCTGGTACATAGTTCAGAAGATATGAAAGAGACTTAAATGGAAATTGCAGCCCCTTTTACCCTATCCCTCACTGAGACTGTCTCCTGGAGTGGCAGGCTCAGTGGGATTCTGTGTTCTCATTTTAAGCCCAAAATGCATTTTGGAGCTGTCCTTGGCTCTTTCTCATGAATTTATACATCTTTGTACATTGAGAAAATGAGCCTTTTCTCATTTGTGGCACAAATACTTTTCCTCCGTCTGTCATTTGCCTTTTGGCTTTATGAAGCCTTCCCTACTCAGATTTTTTTTTTAAGTCTTTAATATTTTCTTTCAGTGCATTTTTTGTTTCCTTTTTTAATTTGAATCTTAGACCCATTTGGTATTCATTTTGGTGAAAGAGAACTAGGGATCATCTTTATTTTTTCAGGTTGCTGTAATTGAGCAATCACGAGATACTCAGAGCTACCTGGATCAGAGACGGAATTCCCGCTGTGTTGGCCTGTTTCTGGGCTGTTCGTGAGCCAGCACTACTCTGCTGATGTGGTGCGGTTCATACTGTTTTACTCGCTGGCTGAATTTGTCCTCCTTCGTTACTGTTCTTTTTCAGAATTTTCTGATTATGATCATACAAATATTTTCTCTTAGAATCAGCTTCGGGTAATTTAAGCAGAATAGACTTTAAAAATTATATTGTCTTCCTTTCCCCAAACAGGATGTACCTTTTCATTTTTCCAAGTCTTTCATATTTTTTAGTATTCAGAGGTTTTTTTCATGTGTTGTACATTTGTTACGTATAATCCTAAATTTCCTCTTCTTGTCGAGGCTATAAATGTGGAGTTTCCCTTCCACATTTCAGAACTTCTGTTTCTATACAGGAAGGCAGTTGGGTTTTTAAACAGAATTTTGTGCATCCCCAACTGCTGTTCTCTCATCGTTTGCAGTTGTTTTCCAGTTACTCTCTTGGGTTTTCCAGGTCTCTTGGCACCATAATTTCTTTCTGTTATCGTGGATAAATAGCAAGTTGATTCTGCCTTTGTTGTGGGTAGAGGGTATGTCTTTAGGGAAGGAGCTGAGGAGTCCTTCCCATACACAGCGGAGGGCTGACTTCCCCAGGCCCTCCAAGCCCCTAGTAGCCCTGATGCCAGCTCAGCATGTCCGTGGAGGTCTGCCGTGTGTTCTGGGCTTCCACGTCAGTACGAACTTACCCGTGATCCCTGCCAGCCCTGCTCACCCCAAAGCTTCCCATCTGAGGCAGAAGCAGCCTTGTTGAGCCTGAACTCTGGAGGCTTCCTGGACTGTCTTTCTCAGATGCTCTGTCGAGTCTGTTGAGATCCTTTACAGAAACTTTCAGAGTTTGACTCGTGTTGTCACCTCAGGTGCTGCCACTCTGGTCTGATCTTTGTCATCTCTTGTCTGTCCTTAATGTAAGACAGGCATATTGCCCTGGACTCAGAATACCCTCCAAGGAAAAAGCCCGGCTGTGTCATTTCTCATGGCCTAGAAGCCCTGTCTTGCTTGACCTCTCCTACTGCCTTTCCGCTCACTCCGCACCAGTTGTGCTGACCTCCTGTGGCCCCCTGACCACCTTCGGGCCTCTGCTTCTACCTGGACTACTCTCTCCAGGGAGCTGCGTGGCTCACGTCCTCACCTCCTGCCAAGCCTGTTCCTGCATGTGTCCCTCTCAGGTGGCCCGACCTGACCACCCGTTTAACTCCTGTGGTCTGTCCATCCCCTTCACCGCATGCCTGACTCCCTCACCCGGTCTGTGCCCTCTTCCCTCTCTGCACTTAACATCTCCAGTGAGTCTGCTACTTAAGACTTAAGAAAATTGCTTATTGTCAGTCTCCCCCACCTCACTAAGTGTAAGTTGAATTTTTGTGTCCCTCACTGACGTATGTGAAACTTTTAGAAAAGTTCCTAGCAGCAAATAAGTATGTGGATAAACCCAAGAAGAAGTGGACGGCCTTCTGCAAACTTGCTTCCGAGATGTGAGTTCTTCCCCATCCTGCCTGGGCCGGATGCCCCGCGCAGGGCCCGGGGGGTCACCTGGTCTTGTGGATCAGCGGGTGCATGCTCTCTGGGCTTGTGTAGTGAGGGTCCCTCATCTCTCTCCAGTGTGACTCGCCTGGAAGTTCCTGGGATTAGGCTGCGTTTTAGAGCCGTTTGCCCATGTGGTGAACCGGCACGGCAGGGATGCATGACAAAGGCTGGTGGCTTGGTACTCCAGCTCTCTACCCAGAAGGCTCTTGGGTTGGAGTGTTGCAGTGTTGCCCTAGGGCCCTGCCGAAGGGGCACTGCCAGCAACCAGGACACCGTCGCCCGACGGGAGGGGTGTGCCCCCCCTCACTGTGCCGTCTCTCCTCTGCAGGAGGGCAGCGGCGGGCCCTCTGTCCTGCTGCCTGGACACCCGGGCATGTCTCAGGGACTAGACCGCCAGGCTGCACGTGCTGGGCTGTTGCCAGAGCCCTAATATCTGACATCTGTTTGTCCTCATGTGCCGCTTGATGGACCCTTTTCACGTACATTTTACATGATGACTTTTAAATTTTTTAAAGTGTGGTCACCTTGCAGAGGTGGGATGACCCCCAGTTTTCACTAGGATGTTGTTGCGGGCTGGACTGTGTCCCCCTGAAACATGTCGCAGTCTTAGCCCTGGGACCTGTGAGTGTGACCTTTTTTGGAACTGGGCTCCTTGCAGATGTGATTAGTTACGGTGAGGTTGTGCTGGGTAAGGTTGAGCCTTTATCCAGTGACTGGTGTCCTTATAGGAAGCAGGGGAGAAACACAGACACACGAGGGGGAGAACCCACGTCGGGGCAGAGGTGGAAGCCCATAGCGCTGTCCAGAGCCACATGCGCACTGTGTGGGCAGCAGAGCGCCACAGAAGGGAGAACTCAGAGAAAACACACTTATTCTCTCACGGCTGGTCCCAAACTAAGGTGTCAGCAGGTTGGTTCCTTCTGAGGCTCTGAGGGAGAGTCTGTCCCGTGCCTCTCGCCGAGTTTCTGGTGGCTGCCGTCGGTCCTCAGTGTTCCTTGGATTGTAGATGCCTCACTCCAGTCTCTGCTCCCTTTGTCATGTCTTTCTCCCTATGTGTCCAGATTGTCTTCATAAGGACACCGGTCATTGCATTAGGAGCCTGTGCTGTCTCTTTGGCAGTACAGGGCTTGGGGCTGGAACATGTCTTTTGGGGGGACATAGTTCAACTTGTAACGAGGGTTTGAAGAGGTTTGCAGTGACCTGCCGAGGTTTTCTGGGCAGAGCGGCTGGCTTCGGGTTCTGTTTTGCTTTGCAGCCCAGATTTGGAGCAGGAAGGGAAGTGGCAGGTCTTGAAAGCTGTGGGCATCACACGGCAAAAGTTGAGTCAGAATCTTTATTATCCAAAGCAGTTGATAAGGTGTTGTCTTACCCTGCAGTCAGCAGCTGCACCTGCATTTACCTGGTCTTCTGTTCGGAATGGTTTTCTGTGCCATCTTGTTTTATTGGCACCACCAGTGAAGGAGCTGGGTTTGTTGCTGGAAATTAGCCCACTCACAAGGTTTGGTCACTGTTCTGGGCACTGTGGGACACTGTCCAAGGAGTGCTGGACTCGAGTGGTCGTGGCATCTTTATTTTCAGAGGTGGGATCTCCTGAGTCAGAGTCTCCAGGCGTAAGTAGAAAAGCTGCTGGTGAGGCAGACAGGCCGCGAGCTGTCAAGGTCCCAGTTCCACTCACCAGACTTGAAGGGAGCCTCTTTTGTGAACCAGCATGTGGGCGTACTGACTTGGTGAGAGAGTTGCAGACACCTTGGGCCCTCGGGGTGGTGGCCACATCTCCCCTTTCCCTGGGCGAAGTCGGTGTGGGAAGGTGCCCCAGGATGGAGGATGGGAGGGGAGCCACGGGGCCTTGGCCACAGGAGACCAGGAGCCCACACCGGGTGGGGCCTTTGTGCCTTAGCTGGGCTCCACATGTGACTCTGCCCTGGGGTCTTGAAAGGACCAGAGGACTGAACCCTAAATAGCCCCTAAGAAGAGAGTAAAATGGGCACATAGAATGTAGTCCTGTGTCTCAGTTAATAGAATGACCTACAGCAACATGGATAGATTATAAGAGAACTGATTAATATAGTGAGTGTTTTCAGAAGAGCAGAGGTATTTCTTTGTCCTCTGTATTTTGTATTTGTTTATTTATAATGATATCGGTAATTTTCAAAAACTGCTTTGCAGTGTCTACGGCCATGCCACCCTGAACAAGCCCTATCCCGTCTGATCTCAGAAGCTAAGCAGGGTCAGGCCTGGTTAGTACTTGGATGGGAGACCACCTAGGACGACCAGGTGCTGTAGGCATAAAAAATAAAAAGATTAAAAAAAAAAGAGATTGTAAGCTGACAAGGTCCTTGCAATCTGTGAGGTCAACCGAGGGTTGCCTCGCCTAAAAAAAACAAAATACTGCTTTGCAGAAAGCCCTCTTGCCCATGTCTGGGGCCATTGGAAGTGCTTCTGGTTTTCTCTGTCTTGGTCTGGCCTGCCTGCGGACAGGCAGAAGGAGGCTTCGCAAGGCTGCATGCTCAGAAGAGGGCTGGACCCTAAGTCAGCAGATGGACTTGTTTTTATGATTTTTATAATTACTAGTTCTAATTACAAGTTACCTAAAGCCTACTTGAGCCTAAAAAATGAGCCCTAAGGGATCCAGAAGATTTGTGTTTGGGTCTCTCTCCTGCTTGGTGATGTTGGCCTGGCCCGTTTGAGCCCCAATTCCACCTGCAGGATGGTTTGGGGTGTAACATTGGTTGGCTCAGGCTATCATAACCAAGCACCTTAAACTGGGTGACTTAAATGACATGTTTACTTCTTGCATTTCTGGGGGCTGGAAGTGTCCGACCACGTGCTGATCAGTTCGGCCTCTCCTGAGGCCCCTCTCCCAGGCTTGCAGTTGCCTTCTTGCTGTGTCCTCACGTGGCCTTTTCTGTGCCTGCAGACAGAGAGCAAACCCTCGAGTGTCTCCTCCTCCTACAGGACACCAGTCCCATCAGATCAGGGCCCCACCCACATGACCCCGTTCCATCTAATTACTCCCCTAAGGCCCCAGTCTTCAAATAGTCTCACTGGGGGCTAGGGTTTCAACGTAGATACAGCTCAGGCCGCGCAGGTATTGAAAGCAGAGCTGTCACCTAGAAGCGTGGGCAGAGGCGAGGTTCTGTTGTTCTCCCCGCCAGGGTGTTTTACAGCACAGGGGTGGTCAGGTGTGAAGTTTGTTGGCAAGAATGAAGTACGGAATTGTGTTTATAGGATCAGCAGGATCAGCTGCAACTCTGGGTCACCCCTGTGGCAATGTCACTGTTATTCCTGCGTTCTTGTGTGGGGCAGAAAGGGTTGAAGTCGAGCTCCATCCTGGGCACTGACTACCTAGAGGGTGTCCCGAGAGTCGGTGGGCAGTGGCGGGCAGAGGCCCGGTAGCACCCTGGGCCGTAAGTCCCTGTCCTCTGTCTCTTGTGTGCTGGGCCCCAGGCCAGCTTCTTCCCCTCTGGGGAACGATTTCAACCCACCTCCCTTGTTTTCCTTTGTTGAGGTTGCTTTTTTCCCCTATTCCCAAAGCAGTATGTGGTCTTTGCAGAAAAAGGAAGAGAAGACATGGGCCTCCATTTTTATCAGCGGCAGGGTCCGACCACGTCAGCGTTGCTTGGGGCTCTGTGCTCTAAGCGGCCTAAACAGCCATGAACACAGGACCATTGTGGCTCCTGGAACTCTCCTCAGAGAGGGCAGAGGGTGAACCCCCCGAGGAACATGCTGGAATAAGCACCAGGGGTCCTGCTATGTCCTCCCCAGAGGGTGGACTGGACGGGCACAGCAGGGTCGGTTAGTGGAGCTGGTCTGCCAGGAGCCAGCGCTTAAAGGCACGGTTGCGAGAACGTGGGCTTGAAGGGCACCGGGTTGTCAAGTCTTCTTGGGGTACCCCATGTTCTATTCTGTCCCTGAGCCCCACTCACAGTGCCATTTTAATAGCTCTTTTTGTTTTATTAAATCAATACATGCTGCTTCTATTGAAAAGAATTCAAATAAGACAGAATAAACTGATATAATACATAGAAATAAATAACCACTATTAACTTTTTAAACTTTTTATTTGGAAACAATTTCTGCTTAGAGATAAATTACAAAAATAAAAAGTCCCCTTGTCCATAGTATCCTATTCTTAACATTTTAGCTCATTACTATTCTCATTTATCATTCTTTCTCTCTCTCTTGTTGTCTCTTTCTATGGGTTTGGATGTGTATATAATTATATGTATAATTTTTTTCTTATCCTTTACAGAGCAACTTGCGTGCATCGTCACCCTTTATCCCTAAACCCTTCAGTGTCTGCGTCCTAAGAACAGACAAATTCTCTCGCACAACCACAGTGCAGTCGTCAGTGCCAGGAAGTTTAACGTTGACCCCACCCACATTTCAGTTTTGTCAGTCGACCCCCAGAGTTCTCCTGCTTCAAGACCCAGTCTAGGGTGAGGTATTGCTCCAGCACCCTTCATCTGGAACGTTTCCTCAGTCCTTTTTTGGGGTCTTTTATGACATTCCTACTTTGGGATAATACGGTTTTCCCCCCTCAAGCATAATATTTCATTTCGGCTTTGTCCACATGATTGGATCGGGGTTCCACACTCTTAGCTGGAATCCGGCATGGGCGATGTGTCCTTTCTCAGGGCAGTGACCCTCTGTCCCCATGGTCACTGGCTTTGGTCACCCATTCAACTATAATTATGTGGCACCTTGGAAGTGGTCCATGAGAACTATTTTAAGACTGGACAGGCGTTTTGCTTCTCGCCATTTTCCTGCAGGAGCTGGGAGTCGTTGAAGGTGTTCACACGAACCTGTCCTGATTGAGATGGGTGCAGATGAGCTGCTCCCACTGCAGCAGCCTCCGCGCCAGCGGGAGCCCTCTTCCCCCTCCGTCGATCTGTTTACTTTCTGTATGGACTCAGTAGTTTCTGTTTTCCAGTGGTTCTTAATCTCTGTACTTAATTCCATCCACGCTCACGCCGTCCCAGACTTGGCGGTGGGCGCCCCTCGAGCTGGCCGCTGTGCCCTGTGACGTGCCCCAGCCCTTTCTTGGCGCACTTCCTCGTTCTCTGAAATCAGACGCTGAGGCTCATCTTGTTCTTTCCCCAAACCAGCCGTTTCTCCGCGGAGCCCTGGCGTCTTTCGGCCTGGAATTGTACTGAAGGATGCTTGGTGTGATCATTGCTACCAGTGTCTTTGCTTCTTAGCCCCTTCAGTGGACAGAGCTAAGAGGCGGGTGTGTGTGTGCACACATGTGCACATGAGCACGCATGTAGAAATGGCAAGTGCGCACTGGTGTGTCCCATCCCAGCATGCCTCTCTGAGTTCTTTTTCTAAATTCCTCTATTTTTTATTGGTATGTCCTTTCTCCAGTGGCAAATATGTGCAGTCTTCAGTGGCAGCCACGCTGCACACACTGCTCTGTGACCTGGCTCCCCACTCAGGGACCATCGCTGCCAACCCTCCGCAACATCTCACCCAACATCCACAAGATGAGACCCACAGACTATTGTAATGGTTGTAATGCTTGTAGGAGGCTGTGCCAGAATTCCCTGTTATTGGGCTTTGATTTTAAAAGGTGTCCAGTTTTTCGCTGTGATATGTAAAGTTGGCATCAACATTTTTGTAATTAAATCTCAATTATTTTCTTAGGATAGAGGTGGAATTACTGGTCAAAGGGTATGTATATTTTATGTCTTTCTGAATGGCCGTGTTTGTCCTCTGGCTCGTAATTTTTGAGAGTGCTGGTTTCCTGACCAGTGTTTCTCAGTGTGGCTGCACGGTAGAATCACAGAGGTGCTTCTAGAAACAAAGATCCCCAGGCTGCATTCAGAGCCTCTGAGATTCAGGTGTCAAGGATCTGGGGTGTGACTAGGATTTGTAGTTTTTAAAGGCTCCACAAGATATTTTGATATGCAGCCAATTTGAAAGGTGAAAGTGGTCTTTCATTATTTTAATTCTAATTTTCTTCTGAAATTGTTTCAGACATTCAGAGTTGGGAGAAGTGGCCCCAGAAAGAAAAGCATCTGAGAGAGGAACAGCTGTGGCCATTGCAGGTAAAGCCGGGTTTGGGCCCTGTCCAGAGCAAGTCCATGTCTCCTGTCCTGTCGGTATTTTGGGCCCCAGCAGCACCCTGGGCTCGCGATGCCAGCCTCAGGAGCAAGCGAGCACCAGGCTGTGCTTTCCTTTCACAGGAGGATTCCATCTAGAGGTCTTTTCAGCTTCCCTTGTACATTCAAAATAGGGTTCAGTTTAAACAGGCGATTATCACACAGTTTACTGGGAACACATCACTCCAGTTTGAATGTCGTAACTGCCGTCCTGCGTCATGTTTAGGGTGACTGACCAGTTTCTAAACTGGGCACTTCTGAGTGGGAAAGGTGTTTTTTTTTTGGGACAACAGGTGTCAATTGGAACCATCCTGGGCAGACGGGGGCTTGTGGACTTTCTGGTCATAGTCCACATAAGCTGGTTTTTCTTTTTCTGGATATTTAGGGGGGTAGGGCTGTAGCTGCCCTTTGTGACATCAGCGTCACAGTGTGTCCATACTTCAGACATCTTAATTTCTCTTAGCACCTCATTTTTAATCTTTCTTTCGTTAATTTGATGCTTCTCAAAATGGATGTGTTCTATTGGATATTTGTAGTGTTACGCAGAAATAACCCCACAAAATATGCAAAGAAATTTGGGTTAATCACATTTTGTTTTGTTTGACTAATTCAAACAAATATTTATTCACTGCCTCACACTCAGTAGAATGGCTACTATCAAAAAACCAGAAAAGAACAGGAGCTGGCAAGGATGGGGAGAAACTGGAGCTTCGTGCACTGTTGGTGGGGCTGCTGTGGAAAACAGTGTGGAGGTTCCTCAAAAAACCAGCGGTAGAACTACCGGATGAGTCAGCAGTTCCATATCTGGGTATATAACCCCCAAATCAAAAGCAGGGTCTCGAAGAGATATTTGCACACCCACATTTGTAGCATCGCTATTCACAATAGCTAAAACATAGAAGCAACCCAGTGTTCATCAGTGGATAAACACAGCGAAATGTGGTGTATGCGCACAATGGCATATTATTCAGCCTTTAAATGGAAGGAGATTCTACAGAATACAACAGCATGGATGAACAGTACACTGAGAGAAATAAGCCAGGCGGAGAGAGACAAATACTGTATGAGTCCACATGAGGTACATGAGGTACTTAGAGTAGTCATATCATAAACACAAAGTGTAGTGGTGATTGTCAGGGGCTGAGGGAGGGGATGGGGAATTACTTATATTTTTTAATAGGTATAGGATGTCTTACAAGATCAGTAAAGTTATGGGATGGATGTTGTGATGGCCACACAGCAGTGTGAAATGCATTTAATATCACTGTACCACACACTTAAAAATGGTTAAGTTAGCATATTTTATGTGTATTTTAACAATAAAAATGGAAAAAAACATTGAGGAAAAAACCACTTTATAGTGAATAATTATGTGGCATTTAATACACTCACAAAGTTATGCAATCTCCACTTTTTATCTAAGTAGTTCCAAAACCCTCTCCACCGTTCGCGAGTGAAACTCTGTGCCCATTGAGCAGTGTTTTCCCATCTGTCCCTCCTCCCAGGACCCATAGCAACCACCAGTCTGTGTTACGTGTCTCTCTCGTGTCTATATTTCTCGTAGCTGAAATCATACAGTGTGTATGTGCCTTTTGTGTTTAGTTTCTTTCTCTGAGGGTACCGTTTGGGTTCGTCTCTGTTGTCCCTTTTTAAGGCTGAGTACTGTTGTGTTGTGCCGATGGACCACATTTTGTCAGTGGGCATTTGGGTTGTTTCTACCTTCTGGCTGCTGTGGATAGTGCTTTTGTGAATGGGCAACTACGTGTACTGCTTTGAGTGCTCGTTTTAATTTGAGGGGTGTACATCTAGGAGTGGAATTGCTGAGTCAAATGGCAATTCTACGTTTCCTTCTTCCAGTACCAGCTATATTGTTTTTCATAGTGGTCGCACCATTTACAATGTCACCAGAATGTGTGAGGGTTCCAGTTTTTCTCCATCCTTGTCAACATTTTTTATTTTTTGTTTGTTTGCTTTTTATCGCCATCCTAGCAAGTGCGAAGTGACATCTCATTGTGGTTTTGATCTTCATTTCCATAGTGACTTGTGATGTTGAGCGTATCTCCTCTGGAGAAATTTCTATTCAGGTGCTTTGCCTATTTTTTAAATTGGGTTGTTTTTCTTTTTTGTTGTGATGTTGCGAGAATTATTTATGTATTCTAGAGACTAGACCCTAATCACATTTGGTTTGCACATATCTTTTCCCATTCTGTAGGTTGTCTTTTCACTCTTGATAATGTTTTTGATGCAGACACAATTTTTATTTAGATGAAGTCCAGTTTATCTATTTTTTTCTTTTGTTGCCTGTGCTTTTGGTGCCGTACTTAAGAATCCATTGCCGAATTCTAGATCACAAAGGTGTAACCCCATGTCTTCTTCTAAGAGTTTTATGGTTTTAGCTCTTATATTTAGGACATTGATTTTCAGTTAATTTTTATATGTGGCATGAGGGAGGGATTCACCTTCATTCTTGTCACATGGGTGTCCTCATTGTCAGCACTAACAGTCCCAAACCAAGGTCTCACATGGTCTCTTAAATGTCTATTTGCTGCCCAATAAAAGTATTCATTCCAGCATTTGGTGAAAAACTCCATAGCATGAGTATTGGGTACTCTAATAATTCAGGGGGAAAGTCATTCGGTTTGAAGGGTGAGAGTGGTTGTGAGTGCCCCACTCAGAGTGCATGTCAGTGGGCAGGCCTGGCCCACACTCGGCCCCTTGTGCTCCACTTGGCAGGAGCCTGAGCCTGTTCCCTCCTAACGGGAAGTGAGAGGAGGCCTTGGCCCATGGCACCAAGCCTTTGCCGGGCCCCATAATGGCACTGACTGTGGCCTTGCCTGCAGCCCTGCTGCCCTCCTTCTGCCTCGTGCATCGGCCGCTGATGTCCGATGGCCATGTTGGCTTCTGGCGTTCTCTGCCTGCGTCTCATTTGCTCTCCCGCCCTTGGCAGTGGTGTCCGTGATTTGACAGCCTGACCCTCCGGCCACTTTTTGCGTTGTGGCCTCACCCACCTGCTCCCTCTCTGGTTCAAGTCAGAGCCATCGCTCATTCCTAGCAAAGCTCAGCCCTGTCTTCTCTGGGCCTGAAGCTCACTTCTGATTCCAGCTCCGATGACTCTCTCTCGGGGCCTCGCCCCATCTCGGGTGTCTCCGGGTTTCCCGTTCCCTTCTCCAGCCATCGATCTTCCTTCTCGTGGCATTTTGGATCCCTTGGAAATTCTCCTGGTGTCTTGTCAGCTGAGTGCTCAGCGTGTGCTCTGGTCTGTGAACCGTCCATGTCTGTGATGCTCTCCTGCTTTCGGACCCGCTTCCTTTTTCCCTCGTCTTTCTCTCTCCTGTACCTCACGGTGTCGCCCCATCAAAGACGACTGCTTTAAATGTCACGTGCATCTACCTGATCACACGGAAATCATGAGAGGATAAGTCTGAAAATGTCAGAATCGTTTCTTGATTCCTAAGGTTTTGCAAATATAATTTTAATTTTGAAATAGGTGATAACTTTTACTTGGATCAGAAGTCAGACCTTAAAAACAAACACAGAGAAGTGTCGTTCCCACAACCCCACATTTGCAGCAAATCTGTATGATTTTAAGGTCTTTTATCACAACGTAAGCATCTGAATAACACTGAATTAAATACCTTCTGTAATATAAATGTAAGTGTTAGACATGCCACCATATTAGAGACTTCGGAGAAGTAAGTTTGTTAGTAAGTCATAATCCTTCCCCTGTGTGTGTGCATCATTTCAAGTGAAAACAAAAACTCCTTAGGATAGAACAAAATAATGTTCACAGGAACCAAGAAATTCATATGAACTTTTATATTTTATTTTATTTATTTTACTTTTTAATCTTTTTATGGTGACATTGGTTAACAAAATCCAATAAGTTTCATCTGTACACTTGGACAGTAAGGCATATATATATTTACGCTATGTGTTTACCTTCCATAGTTAGATTTCTTTCTGTCACCACATATTTGACCCCCTTTCCCCCATCTACCCCCCCCCTCCCCCCACCCCCTACCCTCTGGTAACCATTCGTCTATAGTCCATGTCCATGAGTCTCCGTTTGTTTGTCCTGTTCATTTGTTGCTTTTAGATTTGTATTCTACATGTAAGTGATATCATGTGATTTTCAACTCTTTCAACTCTGGCTTATTTTGATCAGCATGATTATCTCAAGGTCCATCCATGTTGTCATAATTGACAGTATTTCATCTCTATTTATGGCTGGCTGAGTAATATTCCATTGTATATATGTACCACAGCTTATTTAGCCAGTCATCTATCGTAAGACACTTTGGTCGCTTCCATGTCCTGTCCACTGTGAATAATGCTGCTATGAACATCCGTGTGCAAATATCTTTTCAGAAATGAATTTTCAAGTCTTTGGGGTAAATACCTAGTAGAGGGATTGCTGGATCATATGGTAGATCAATTCTTAGTTTTTTGAGGGACCTCTTTACTATTTTCCTTAGTGGCCGTACCAATATGCAGTCCCACCAGCAGTATATGAGGGTTCCTTTTTCTCCGCATCTTCTCCAGCATTTGTTATTACTTGTCCTGTTGATTATAGCTAATCTAACAGCTGTGAGATGGTATCTCATTGTGGTTTTGATTTGCATTTCCCTAATAACTAGTGATGTTAAGCATCTTTTCATCTATTTGTTGGCCATTTATTTGTCCTCTAAAGAGAAGTGTCTGTTCAGGTCCTCTGCCCATTTTTTGATTGGATCATTTGTTTTTTTTTTTTTTTATTGTTATTGAGTTGTATGAGTTCTTTGTATATTTAGGGTATTGGCCCTTATTGGAGGTGTGCTTGCAGATATATTTTCCTGTTCAGATGGTTCTCTCTTTACCTTGTTGACAATTTCTTTTGCTGAGCATAAGCTTTTTAGTTTGATGTAGTCCCATTCATTTTAGCTTTCACTTCTCTTGTTTTTGAGGTCAAATTCATAAAATCCTTGAGTTTAGTTCCAGTGTTTTCCTCTATGCATTTTATTGTTTCAGGTCTTATATTCAGAGCCTTAATCCATTTTGAGTTAATTTTGGTGCGTTGTGATAGACAACATTCTAGTTTCATTCTTTTGCAGGTGCCCTTCCAATTTCCCAGCACCATTTATGGAAGAGGCTTTCCTTTCTTCACTGTATGTTTTTGGCTTTTTTGTCGAACATTATTTGCCCATATAAATATGGGTTAACTTCTGAACTCTCGATTCCGTTCCACTGGTCTGTGTTTCTGTTTTGCTGCCACTACCATGTAGTTTTGAATACTGTCGCTTGGTAGTATAATTTGAAGTCAGGCAGAGGGATGCCTCCAACTTTGTTCTTTTTTCTTAGGATGACTTTGGCTGTTTGGGGTCTTTTGTGTTTCCATACAAATCTGATGAGTTTTTGTTCTGTTTCTTTAAAAATGCTGATAGGATTTTGATGGAGATTGCATTAAATCTGTACAATGCTTTAGGTAATATTGTCATTTTAACTATGTTGATTCTTCTAACGCAAGAACATGTAATATCTTTCCATTTCTTTGTATTTTCTTTGATTTCTTTTAATAGGATCTTGTAGTTTTCAGTGTATAGGGCCTTCATATGTTCATTTATATTTATATTTATATTTATATTTATATTTATATTTATATTTATATTTATTTATATTTATATTTATATGCCTTTTACATTTCTCTTGCCTGATTGCACTTGCTAGGACCTCCAGTGTTATGCTGAAGAACAATTAATGGAATGGACAGCCTTACCTTGTTTCTGATCTTAGAGGGAAGGTTTTTAATTTTTCACCATTAAGTATAATGTTGGCTGAGGGTTGTCATATATTTATTATGTTTTGCCTGATTGCACTTGCTAGGACCTCCAGTGTTATGCTGAAGAACAATGGCGATAATGGACAGCCTTACCTTGTTTCTGATCTTAGAGGGAAGGTTTTTAATTTTTCACCATTAAGTATAATGTTGGCTGAGGGTTGTCATATATGGTCTTTATTATGTTAAGGTACTTTCCTTTTATACCGATTTTGTTAAGTGTTTTGATCATAAGTGGATGCTGTATCTTGTCGAAGGCTTTTTCTGCATCTATTGATATGATCATATGATTCTTATTTTTTAATTAGTTTATGTGATGTATCACATAAATTGATTTGCGTATTTTGAACCATTCCTATGCCTCTGGGAAGAAGCCCACTTGATTGTGATGTATAATCTTCTTAATATGTTGCTGTATTCGGTTCGCCAGTATCTTATTTAGGATTTTGCATCTGGGTCCATAAGAGATATTGGTCTGCAGTTTTCTTTTTTTGTCTTTTGGTATCAGAGTAATATTGGCCTCATAAAATGAGTTGGGTTATATTTTAAATAGTTTCTAAAATCAAAGATTGATCTGTATGTTTCATGAAGTTATTTATGTTTCATTGTCCCAAAGCTTAGAAAATTCTATGAAGAATATATCCTAGAGCAAAGCACTTGCTTGTATGTAGCTATTACCACTTTGTGTTATATTTTGGGTTGGAAAAAAAAAATGAAATTTACATAGGAAAAATGGAAGCCAATAATAGCACTAAACATAAATTAGCCACTATCCTCACTTCTGCTTTTTGGTAGGAAGGTGCTAACTTGCTGATGAAACTGAACATGTCTGTCTGCTTTTTTCTTCCAGATTTGGAATGGAGAGAAATGGAAGGAGATGATTGCGAGTTTCATTATGGAGGTAGAAGCTACAGGATTTGGTGACAGATTAGTTGGGGGAAAGAGAGAGGGCATGGGTAAAGTGAAAAATAACTGTGATTTCATATTTTGAACAATGGGGAGAAGTTACTGTTTTAGCAAGAAAAAGAGAGGGTTTAGAGTTCAGCTTAAATGAACTGGTGTCAGTCCCAGACACCTGATTTGATTGACACTTCATTTTTCTTTCTTTTTCAGATGTTACAAATGAGGCTCAGGACAGCGACTTTCCAACAGGTGTGTGTTTCTCTCATTTTATCTCACCGCTCTAGTTTCCTTTCTTGTCATTTAGGCTGGTGGTTCCCATACCTGACTGCATCAGAATCACCTCTAGACGGTTAACCCTCTGCGGGCCGTTGATAATGTAGCCAAGAAAGCAAAGCCCTGGGCGCTGTTACGTATAGAGTCACAGAGTGAGTTGGGGGAGTGGGACAGATGTGTCCCGGTGTTCTGAGTGCTGCTGGTGACCCACCAGTGGCTCTGAACCCATCATATGTCTTCTGGAGAAACAGAGGAGGGCTGGTCACCTCCCTCATGGCTGAGGCAGCATCACAGGTGTGGTGCTGCCTTTTGAGAAAGAATTCGAGAGAACCCTGGAGCTCAGCAGGATTCGTATTTATTTATTTTGTTGATTTATTTAACATTTAGAGTGTACCGATTATATCTAGTGTGAAAGTTGGTAAGAGGCCACGGCCAGGACGGAGAGTGGGTGGAACATCTGCCAGGGTGCTGTGCCCAGTGCAGTCTCCCGCTGTGAGGCCCACATTGCCGAGGTGAGGTGTGCAGACCTGAGAAAATCAGTGCAGAGCCACGATGGCCTCTCACAGACACTTCACACAATAAAAATCTAAACTCGTGTTATTGGTGCACATTTGCAAAACAGTTTACTTATGATTTCTAACACTCTAGACCTAGTAACGACTCTCTATTTCCTTTAAAAATTCTCCAATATTTTGTAAAGAGAAAAGAACTTGAATAGGAAAATCAGAGAATCAGTGATTGTGTACCTGTGGGAAATTCCTGGTGACAGTGTGAGGGAACCCACCAGTGGACCCAGAGTGTGTGATCAGGACAAGAGAACCCCCCGCTGGGCAGAGTGTGGGCAGAAGCGCAGGAGAATATTGGGGGTTTGGGGGTATGATGGGAGAATGAGGTGCATTGCACATCTGGGGCGCGTAGCTGCTTACTCCTGTAGGTTTCAAGAGAAAGCAGACACGTAGACTTTTACGTGAAAACTCCCATTTCTTAAATGTGGCCCCTGGGTGCCCAGTCCTTTTCTCTCTAACGTCCCCGTGTCTTCCTGTGTTTGGACCTGGGTGGTGTGATTTACGGGCGTCCTCGTGTCTGCGTCCTGCCCGTGTGCTGGCGCTCCATCCCCAGCCCTGGCCCCTGTCACTGTCGGCGAGCACTTACGTCCCCCTCTCCCTCCACAGTGGAGAGGAGCCGCCTGCAGGACATGCTGTCACTTTTGGGACTAGAGACGTACCAGGTCCACAGACTCGGCCTGCAGGACGCCCTGCAGATCAGCAGCGACAGCATGAGGAGCCGGGCTCCTCAGACGCCCAAGGACTTGCCCTGGAGTTTCCTCCGGAAGCTGCAGGCCCTCAACACCGAGGCCAGGAGCACCAGCATGGTGCTGGACGTGGCCCTGGATGCCCGGCCTGTGGAGAAGGAGAGCCAGCTGGGAGAGGACATCGTCTACTGGGACACAGCCGATGACATCTCTGCCGACATCTACTCCTTCTCCGAGCTGCCCACGCCTGACACGCCCGTGAACCCCCTGGACCTGCTCTGCGCCCTGCTGCTGTCCTCTGACAGTTTCCTGCAACAGGAAATCGTGCTGAAAATGTCTCTTTGCCAGTTCGCACTCCCTCTCGTTCTGCCGGACTCGGAAAATCACGGCCACACCTTCCTGCTGTGGGCCATGAGGGGCGTGGTGCGGACGTGGTGGTCCCAGCCCCCGAGGGGTGCGGGCAGCCTCAGGGAGGACAGCGTGGTCCTGCCCCGGGCGCCCACCTTCGCCTTCGTGCGCATGGAGGTCAGCAGCAACTCCAAGTCCCAGCTGCTTAACGCTGTGCTCAGCCCAGGCCACAGGCAGCGCCACTGCTTCTGGCATCGGGATCTGAGTGTGGGCAGCAGCCCTCGGGAGATTGCGGACGGGCTGGTGGAGGTGTCCTGGTCACTGCCCAGTGGTAGGGAGGACCTGGACCTTTTCCCAGAGCCCGTGGCCTTCCTGAACCTCAGAGGCGACATTGGGTCTCATTGGCTGCAGTTCAAGCTGTTGACTGAAGTGTCCTCGGCTGTGTTCATCCTGACCGACAACATCAGTAAGAAGGAGTACAAGCTGCTGTCCTCCATGAAGGGCTCGGCCACCAAGTGCTACTTCATCCTGAGTCCCTATCGTGGGAAGCGGAACGCGAACCTACGCTTCCTGAACAGGTTGATCCCCGTGCTGAAGGTGGACCACTCCCACGTCCTCGTCAAGGTCAGCAGCACCGACAGCGCACGCTTCGTGCGCAGGGTCCGCTCCATCGTGGCGCACGTGGCCCGTTCCCCCTGCCGCAGGGTGTCGGTGGAGGACATGGCCCACGCGGCCCGCAAGCTGGGGCTGAAGGTCGACGAGGACTGTGAGGAGTGTCAGCAAGCGAAGGACAGGATGGAGCGCATCACCAGGGACATCAGGGACGCAGACGCTTTCCGCCGGGACGTGCTGAGGCTGCAGGGGGAGCCGTGGCGGAAGGCGGCCCAGGTGGAACGGGAGCTCCGCCAGGCGCAGCGGGCGGCGGACCCATCAGAGAAGCAGCGGGCGGAGCTGAGGCATCGGCTGGTGGACCTCCGGACGCAGCAGAACGGCCACAGCCCCACGGGCGGGCTGCAGGACTTCATCGCGGGCATCGGCGGCCCCTCCGTGCGCGAGAAGCAGTACTTCCTCAGGTGGATGGAGTGGGGGCTGGCCTGGGCGGCCCAGCCGAGGCCGAGGCCACCTCTGGAGCCAGCTGTCACTCTGAAGCCACAGCAGGGCGAGCTGCCCAGGCCGGAGCCCCTGGGGGTGGAGCATTTCCTGCGGGAGATGGGCCAGTTTTACGAGGCAGAAAGCTGCCTGGTAGAGGCTGGGAAGCTGTCCGCTGGCCAGAGGCGGTTTGCCCACTTCCCGGGCTTGGCTGTGGAGCTGCTGGTGAGGGGGCTGCCCCTGGAGCTGACAGACGGGAGCACCCTGAGCACCCCGCTGCGCTGGGTCACGGGGCTCCTGAAGGAGCTGCATGCGCGCCTGGAGAGACGGTCACGGCTGGTGGTGTTGTCAGCGCTGGGCGTGCCGGGCACTGGCAAGTCCACTCTCCTCAACACCATGTTTGGGCTGCGATTCGCCACACGGAGGGCTCGTGGTCCACGAGGGGCCTTCATGCAGCTCGTCACAGTGGCTGAGAGCTTCAGCCAGGACTTGGGCTGCGACCACATCCTGGTGATAGACTCGGGGGGCTTGATAGCGGGGGCCCCGGCCACAGCCAGTGGGCGCTTTGAGCTCGAGGTTTCCTTGGCCACTTTGATTATGGGGCTGAGCAATGTCACCGTGGTCAGTTTAGCTGAGACAAGGGACATTCCACCAGCCATTCTACATGCGTTTCTGAGGTTGGAGAAAGCGGGGCACATGCCCAGCTATCAGTTTGTGTACCAGAACCTCCACGATGCGTCTGCCCCCGGCCCTAAGCAGAGGGAAAGGAGGCAGCTCCCAGACGCCCCGGCCGATGGGAGCAGGGCCACAGCACAGCTGGAGAAGCAGGGCGACGGCCTCCGGACGCTAGCCGACCTGGCCTTCTGCGACCCCGAGAAGCAGCACGTCTGGCACATCCCCGGCTTATGGCACGGAGTGCCCCCCATGGCCTCTGTGAGCTTGGGGTACAGTGAAGCCATCTTCGAGTTGAAGAGGTGCCTGCTGGAGAACATCAGGAACGGCCTGTCTGACCCCAGCAGGAGCTCCCAGCAGCTCATCGAGCTAGTGAGACGGCTGTGAGTGCAGCTGCTCCGAGGGGTGTCTGCATGGGGCTGGACCAGACCCATGTGCGAAGGGAGAAAATGAGACGGGGGTGTGGAGCTTCCCAAACGGGGTTAGGAAAGGAGGAGCCCCCAGACCAGCTGGGAGACGCGCTCGGAGCTGGAGACTCGGCCGTCTCGGCGCCTTCGGAGGCCCCTTGGGTCAGCCTCCTGTGCAGCTGCTCTCCTGTCCGCCCCTGAGGAGGCGCGGGCGCCACTCCCCCTTGGCACTCGGGTACCCGGGATGGGCGGGGAGGTGCCCAGGAAGCAGAGGTAGGCTTCTCGGTGAGCCCACGCCGGCGACTGATCGCCCCGTAAGCGAGGGCTGCGGGCGTCTGTTTATTGAGCCTCCTGTGCAGCCTCCTCCCCCAGGAGTCCCACTCGCCGTTCCACCCTGTAGCGTTAGTTCACGCGCTGGCCTGGCACTGAACACACGGGCGTGCCTGCTCACGCGTCTGCCCTCGGCCATGCGCTCCCGAGGCCAGGGCTGTGTGACACAGCTCTAGGCACTAAATAAATGTTTGTTACACGAAGGAAATGAGTGAATGGACAAAGGTGGTACAGGCAGGTTCCTGGCTGTGCCTTTATTGTCCTGTTTCCTCAGAGGGTCACAGTGGCTGTCTGAGGGAGAGGTGCGCTGCGGACACCTGGGAAGAGGTCTCAGAAAGTGCCGTGCCATCCTCTAGGCAGGTTTTTACTGGGAAGCTGAACTAAAAGTCCTTGCAGTGACTCCAGGGTGACGCTGTCATTATCCCATTTGGTGGGTGAGGACAGGGCCAGGAGCAGGGAAGCAGCATGCCCCAGCCACCCACCTGCATGGCGCCCTCGGTCCCACATTGCTGCTTCCTGACGCTCGTCCCACAGCAGCCAGGCTCACCCGGCCTGGGCCTCGGCGTCAGCCCTTTGTTTCATTCCCTGCCTCTGGTGCCAAGTTCCCTTCCGCTCACCTTGCTGCCATTTGAGCCAGACCTTGGGACCCCTCCCATCGGTTCTCTAGCGGAAAGCCTTGCCTGTGTCGGCCCTTACCCAGGTCAGGGTCACCAGGCCACGCCTTGGAACCCAGTCCCGGCAGTGTCCCTCGCTCTGGGCGCCTCGGCTTAGATCTTGGGGCCTCCTTCCCTCTCTGTTTTCTGGCTGCAGGGAAGCCGGGCCCCTAGGTGGGTGACCAGGAGCTCCTGTGTGTGTGCGCCTTTGCCGACTCAATAAGTGAGCGCTCTGCACGGCCCTTCCTGGAACGCAGACTCCTGGCACCTTCTCTGGAGTCCTGGGACAGCTGTGACTCCCTTGGTGTCCAGAGCATGGCCCCGTGTTCTGTGAGCCTTCAGACATGCTAGCCAGGTGGAATGCCGTTCTGGAAGTCTGGAAGCTCACCTTTCGCTAATAAATTCAGGAAAACCTTTTTCCTTCTGAAACTTGAATCTAATCCTTAGGCACTAAAAACTTGTCTCTTTGTGGATTATTAGAGAACACAAATTTGAAGATGCTGGTTCACTTGGACATACCCAGACCTCACCTTGCTTGCCCCTGGCCTGCAGAACACAGCAGGAGCTCCCCCGGGAGGCTCCCAGGTTCCAGTTCAGGCCCTGGCTTGTTGACTGTCAGCCAGTCCCTTAGAAACTACGTCTGGCTCTTCCCGAAATGGGGAGCAGGGAAGCCAGCCCTACTGTTTCCCTGCCAATCAGGGTTCTTTGCTGGGTTCCACCCATTGTCCAGAGTTAAAGTTCAGTCATCAAATTCCTGAAAATTAGTAGGAGTGAGCTTTTCCCCCATGTGGAAAGAGTTCATGGCTTTCAACAGATTTTCAAAAGGATGCAGGATCCAAAGTAGACTAATAAATGCTTAGTTACTAGGAAAATTATTCCGTACATCCCTGGAACCTAAGATACTATGAAATTACATCAAACATTTGCCCAAAGCATTTAAAGTTTTGAAAATGGACCAGTCTAAAGACCGAGCTGGAGGTTCCCCTGGGCAGCCTGGGGCAGGACTGCGCAGAGGGCTTGTGGTCAGCTGCTGAGAGATCTTGGAACTGCCTGGCAGTGCCAAAGGATCATGGCTTATCTCTAGCAGGAATAGGGAGAGGTTGCCCTGGAGCCTGAGTGACTTTTCCAGAAAGAATCAGCTAGCAGGCCTTGCACCCTTTTTGGGGTGTCAATGTTTAGTTCTGTGACCTGGGGCAGGGGGGCTTGTCTCCTGTGGTCAGTGCCGCACTGCGGTTCCAATCTCCACAGTCCCAGGTCCTGCTCTCATCCTGGAGCTAAAGGTGGTAAACATCAGTCTGCCCTACCTGGTCCTGGGCCCCTTGCAGCCGAGGGCTCCCCACATCAGACCTGAGGACATCTTCAGGGTTTGAGAGGCCCCAGATGAGCCACGGGCTACTGGGCAGCAGTCCTCAGGGCCAAGCCTAGTGCTGCAAGAGCCACTCCGACATGGGTGGGCAGGGCTGCCCCCAGGGAACCAAGTCAGCCACCTTGCAGCAAGTGGGCCTGGGAGTCCGACTGGAGACAAGAGTGCCCGCCCCTCCTGGTCTAGAAGCAGCTCGGCTCAGCTCAGCATGGGGGATGCCCAGCTTTGCTTCCTGCTGGTGTGGCCTTCGGCCTTCTTGAAGCCTTAGTCTCCTAGGAGTACCTGCCCTGTGGAAAGTGCAGAGGCTGGTTTGGGAGGAGCTGCCGGCGAGTTGTGTCCACCGCAGTCTGCACACCCACGAGCGTCGAGGCACACTCACATCTCAAACACCTTGACACCGAACGACTCCCCTGGCCCTCAATCGATCACTGATATCTTAAAGTTAATTTGCAGATTTACAACCATATAAAGCAATGTCTCGTCCTTGCTCACCGAAACAGCCCCTGGCAGGGCCCGTGGTGGAATGGGCACGAGTGTAAACCCGCTGTGGCAGTGTTCCCCCAGCTCCTCTGGTGTGAGTTACCCAGGAAAGCAAAATCCTTTTTTTCTTAGTAATAGAACAATTTAGGCTATAAACCTAACCTGAGTTCCTAAGACTTTAACAAAATTACTCCACACTATTTAACAAAAATAGTGTGGCTTTACCAGCACCAATAAGTTGGGACCACAGAAGGGGGTCAAGATGTTCTTGATCTGGTTTGGGCAGCTTTCTGCCCCTGACGCCACAGCACCCCCACTGGACTCTGCAGGGCAGCCACACCTCTCTCTGCCACCCAAAGGTCCAGGGCCTTCCAGTGCTCCTGTTAGGGCCCTTATCTCACCTCCTACTTGTCCGCCTCGGCCCTCCTGTTGGAGTTCCCGGTGTACAGCAGAGCGTCCAGATTAGGGTGTGCGGTCTCGGTTGCTGGTGTACATGAGACCACTTCTGTTCACCTGCGCCCAGCCCTGCAGTCTGACTTTTGGCCCTGGGTCCCAGTATGGCTCAGGATGATTCTAATTGGTGTCGTTACCAGGAGACTGGATTATGGCAGTGTCCCGAAGGTTGGGACTTAATGCACAGAACTGACCCCTTCTTTCTATGCCTCGACAGAGGGAAAGTGGGGTTGGAGAACGAGACACCAGCTACTTGTGTGAGGAGGAAGAGGATGGTTTGAGACAAATGCTTTAACTTGGTTTCAGTGCTGGTTTGGCCCAGTTTCCATCATTGGGGCTTGTAACCGCTGAGGTTCCTGGTGAATGGGTTAGTGGGAGAAAATGCATTACTGGAAGTGTCAGCAGTTCTGATTAGGACAAGCTAGTCTTGCAAGAAGAACCAGCATGAACAGGGTTTCCTGGGCCAGCCCCATAGCCAGCAGGAAGGCAGGAGTCTCTGGCTAGGGCATTCCTCCCTGAGGTCGAGTCTGGTGAGTTCCTGGCCGGACTGTGCAAGTCCAGTGGCCCAGAGTCTCCCTCTCACAGGTGTTACCCACAGCCAGCCAGCAGTCTATCCTCTGATCTAGGTGAGTCCTTGGGTTGTGCTGGACCCACTGGACAGACCGTCTCAAAGCAGCCCCCGACCACCCAGCAGGCCTCTCCTCTGCCTGTGGCCCAAGGAGGGCAGGCCTGGATGGAGGCCATCTCCCTCCAGGTAACAGCTGCTACCATCTCAGCATTGGTCATAGAGAGGGGGTAAAGAATGTCCCACAGCCCTCGCCCCCAAAAGCTCTACAAATCAGGTCCTGGCAGTCGCCCATGTCAATGTGGGTTTTAGGACACTGGTTTGCAACCCCGCCTGCAAGGCCGGATCCTCTAAGGAGCATTGGGAAAGCAGGGGTGCCCCCTAAGTCCTGTACTTGAGGCGTGGGGCCCAGTGGGCGCTGAGGTGTGGCCACGGCTAAGAGCGTAACAGCGACTGTGTGACCCTGGTCATCGTGAGAAGAGCCAAAGGGCTCCCTTGTGTCTGAGAGGGACAACTGTTCACCCTCGACTCCCCAAAGCTCTGTCCGGGCCCCTAGTGGGCTCCTGAAGTTGGTCACTTTTACCTAGATGTGGATGCTCCTTATCTAGGAAGTGGTCTGTGCTCAGCCGCAGAAGCCCAGGCCACGCCCTCCCACGTGATTCTGAAGGTACCCATCTGGTGACAGTGACGCATTCCTGGAGGAAGACGACTCGCTAACCGTTGCCAGTTCTAACCTCAGGCCGGCCTCAGATCATCTCCTTCTGAGCTGCAAAACTTGGACAATGCTGCCCCCTACAGGACTGACCGGAGAAGCGAAGTGCATCAAAACAGAAATGGACATTACAGAAAAATACAACACCCCATTAAAATTATCCTCTGGCAATTTAAAACAACTTAAAACGATGCAACAATTAATAATATTGTATTTAAAAAAATGTTGCTTTAAGTTAATCAGGCAAAAATTCACATGACCCCCACCCCCCTGCAAAGAACCAGCTGAAAATCTGTGCAATAAGGCACAGTGTAAACAAAGATAAAAGGTAAGGTATTTAAACCACGAAATATCTAGGTCAGTCTGGAATTCCTGGGAAGACATCCCAGGCATAGGAAGAGTGGCTTGAATAAAGAGAAACACAAATTTGATGGTATTGCCTGCTACCTCGAGAGCAGAGCTTGAACCCAAGCACAGCAGCCCCTGCTCAGCTGGCCAGCGCTGCTTTCCGCTGCTCCAGCAGAAGTAGGTGGTGGTGTCACCTTTGCTGGAAAACCAGCTCATCCTTCCTCTCTGCTTAGGGTGGTGTTCCTGAGTTTTCACGAATCTTCAATAGCTGCTTCATCTCTCAAAGTGGATGTAGATATCAGATACTCCATTCTTTTTAAAAGAAACAAAGCAAAACACGTTTATTAGCGGCTCACTCTGTCAGACATTTTGCAATGTAATTTTCACAACAACCATTATTGTCCTCATTTTACAGATGAGGGAAACAGGCTTCAGAAGGTCAAGTCACTTGCCTAAATTGCACAGCCAGGAAGCAGTAATTCAGATACCCCATGTTTCTCACCACTTTGAAGCAGATACATAAAACACCAAATTATAAAATTATCAAGCTTAATGGAAAACAAAGTACTATTGGTTTAAAAGGGTCCTTCAGGAAGTTGAAAGTTCACACATTTGGAAAGTTGTGATCGGAGAACATCTCATCCTAGTTCTGTTCCCTTACCCGATATGTAGAACAGTTGGAGGCCACAGGAAAAAAATAAAAATAAAACATTCCTAATGAAGTGGGCGTGAAAACACTGTCCTTTTACTAACCTTTTTTTAGGAACCACCTTGGAGGGGTCAAGGGAATCTTGATCATGGAAAGGACTGAAGCCCACAAACTGACGTCCTGGTCCCTCTCTGCCCCTCTCCAGTGGGATCCTGGGCAACTCACCCTCCACTTTTGCCTTCATTTCCCCTCCACACAGATGACGGTCTAGTCCTCCCTCCCAAGGGAACCACGCTGCATGCAAGCAACATCAGGCTGAATGATGTAGGTGAAAAATGGCCAAATGCCGGCGACTTGACATGATTCAACCTAACCAACGACCGCTGTTTATCCTAACAGCTCTGCGAGGCGGCATTATCATCAAACATTTTATAGATAATGCAACTGAGGCTCAACTGTACAAAGACTGTTATACCTGGGCCCAACTCCAGAGCCCATGTTTCCTTCCATTACTGTTTTGAGTTCTGAGATAAGATACCCAGTGTTACTTTTCCCTCTGACAATAGTTACTGGATACCAGTTACAGTGGTGACATTCTGGTTTGACTGTTACAGACCCTGTGACATGCATCCCCATAGTTTTCCTTACCATCCAGCCCTTTCTATCGTACTGAAAATGTTCCTTCTCCAAGAGCCAGACACTAGGGTGTGGTCACATGTGAAATCCTACGCTCTGCATAACTCATCCTTGAATTATGTGACGTTTTAACCAAACACGTCTTCTTCATTTGTGGCTAAATCCAAGTATTTCTTTGTTTTAAAGAATATTATTTGGAGACAGCTCAGCAGCCTAATTTCTAGAACCTAAGGAAATGCTCTCTGCTCCCCTCCAAAGAGAGGGGCCCAAACCAGGCTGGGCGAGGCCCGCTGGGCGCCACGTGTTCCCTCTTCGGGACCCTAGTGCGGGGACTTTGAAGGTGAAACCTCACGTTCCGCACCATCAAATTTCAGTTTGTGATACAGGATGTAAACAACGACGGTAGCAGGGCGGAGAGACGCAGAAATGAGCGATACGCGTCCACCCCACGTTACAACTGCGCAGCCGCGAGGCCCGCCCACCGTGCCCGCCGCTCGCCGGCCCCGGGGTTGACGC